ACGTTATTACTATATTTTTTTTAATAATATTATGCTCTTAAATATAAATTATCAAATATTAAATTTGTTATTTTTAATTTTTTTTTTTATAAATATTTCTGTTGTTTTACATGTATTTTAATTATATTACTGTTATGTTTTATAATTATTTTATGTATTTTTATTTAAACTCACTATTTTAAATTATCATTTAGTTATTTGTTGAAATTTATTTATTGATTTTTCCTTCGCCATTAACATTTTTGTTAAAAATATTTATGTGCTTCATTTAATTGTTAGTTTTAAATTATTTAAATATTTTTAGTTTTATACACATTTGCTATTTTAGTGTTTTAATGAAATGTTTGGCATTTTATTAAATGATTGAATTTTGTAATCTAGTTAATGTTGTTTAATTATGTGTGTGTATATTATTTATAAACTAATTTATTTGTTAATATTTTTTACTATTTATTAAGATTATATCTTATTTATTTTATTACTAAATATTTGGGGTTTTTTTATTTTAAATTAATATTAAATGCTTTCTTATTTATTGTTATACAATTATTATTTTTTAATGAAATTACTTTGAAATTTATTTGCATTTTACGGCATGATGTTGTGGCAATAATTTTTTGAGTTTTTATTTTACGTGATGTTAATCTGTAAGAGAAAAAAATTGAGGAACTTAATAACTGTTTTATTGTAAAAAATCAATCAGATATGAAAAGGAAATAAGAACTATTGGAAAAGTGAATTATTTCTAGAATATTCCGAGAACTGATAATCTAAGATTAAGAGTGCCTTGATTACAGTGCATTTACAAAATTTTTACTTAATTTCTTATAAAATATTTGAAAATTTTTTTCTAATCACATTTTTCCACAGTCTAATTCTATTCATGAAACCATTTTGGGGTTAATTTTTGCGAATAACGAGCATAATTGTCTAATCAAAGTAAATAATTTGTTAAGAGTAATATAATAATTCCATTGTTTCTATACACTTCACCTACGTGAGAAGGGTATATATAAGTTTGTCATTCCGTTTGTACACAGAAAAAACTGAAAATGTGTTTTAATTATCAAATTTATTGTATCAAGCAAGTTTTGCACCTATCAACAAAATGATGATATCAATTATGAAATTTGTAAAAAAATATTTGTTTCCAATTAAAGAAATAATCAAAACAATTAACATCAGTAATTAAATTCAAAATTTAAAATTAGTTAATTCATTAATTGGATAAATTAAATATTTAATAAAATAAAACTTACATTTTAATTAGTTTATTAATCAAATAAATTGAACAGTTTGGTTAAAAATGTATTAAAAATCAATAAAGTCGATGATTGAAACAATCAAAGCATTAATTGAATGCTTACAACATTAAAGGATTCCTTTACCTTTAACAATGCGTTAAGCACTCTCAAAAATATCTCTTTATTGTCACATTTGAACAAATAAAGTGATTTATAAATGTTAAAATATTTATGAAACTTCAACTTCTTATGCCTAAAATATTATTGACTATTTGAGAATTATTTTCCGTTATAAATAATGAAATTATTTAAACAAAATATCAAAACAAAAAACCAAAATAAAAAAGTAGGTTGGAAAAACTTTTTCAGCCAATTAAAAAATTAATTGATTCAATTAAAAGTTTAATCAAATTTGTATACTTAGGATCAAAACAATGAGATAATTATGACAATTAAAAATTGTTTAAATAAAAGTTAAAGAAAGAGGAACACATGTTAATTGAAAATAAACTACCGATAATTTTTTCTGTGTAATTTCTATAATATAATTTTCCAACCCTATAAAGTGTATATATATTCTGAATCCTTATAGATAGCGGAGTCGATTGACCAATGTCCTATTATATGTCTGTCTGTCTGCCCCCGAAGCATGTTTCCTTGATGAAATCTTCATCTTGGTGTATTGTACCGGGACTATAAACTGGTGATGATCAAATATATCCTCGGCCTTTCCTTGGAATGATTTGACATGGGGTCTAACCAGAGTACCATATAATCTGGCACTAAGGGTATCCGGTTGCCCACAGGACCTAGTCCTGAGCGGTCAATTGGTTGAGGATCCTTCGGAATCCACTTTGGAAATTTCTGGATATTTCGGACTACCAAATACGTCTCTAGGTGCCATTTGAGTAGTGTGGTTGCGCGGGCTTTAAGAGGTTAAGGAATGCACTAGAATGGGTCATTAGTTGATGGGCATTTTAAATAATTCAATCTTTCATGACATCATAAGGGTGGTCACCTTCCGGTTTACCGGAAGATTGATTTCACCTGATGTTGGGGCTAGTCACCCCCTTCTATTGACTTAACACCAGTGATTGCTTTTTCCTTGTCGGGGTTTGCATTGGAATTGATTCCATGCTGCCTGTTATTCCACAACAGGGCTACTATGGCAAGAGATTAGATAGCTCGAGTTCTTCAACAAAGTGCTTGCACATGGACCGGCTCAGCCATGTACAAAAATTGCCACCTGAGTTCTTTATAGAAGGATACAGGGGCGCGTGGTAGACCTTCTCTAGTCTACCCAGTGGATGAAAGAGACCACCGTGAAATTAGGCCGTCATAGCAGGCGTTCACGTTAAACTCTCGACATTCGTGTCTGTCTGCCTGTAAGTTTCATTTTGTTTTTTTTTTTTTTGTATCTTGTTTCGTATGTTTGGATATCTGTTAATTTCATTGCGTTGTGTATTTTGTTTTTTTGTGTGTTTTATTTCGTTTAGCGTTTTTGTTGTTCCTTTTGTTTTGCTATTACTAAAGTAATGATGGAGTCGGGAAAATGAAATAAATTGATATTTTATAAATTTAATATTTTTTAAATACACTATGGTGAATGGTATACAAGATTCGGCAAATGCGATTATGGACTTCTTACTTGTAAATTAAACAATTTTCTTTTATTTAGTTAAATTCTAAAACTATATTCTCTTTTTCTAAGCCTTCATAACCAACATGTTATTTCATATTTCAAATAGCAACACAATTTATATGAATTTCTCTACAGTTTTTTATTCCTGGTCACTTCCACTTAAGTATTCAATAATTTTACAACAAAATCCCTTAAAGCTGAACCATAATAATAATAATAAATAAATTGAAAAAGAAAAAACTAAACCAGGGATATGCAAACAGGAAATGTACATGATTCCCATAAACCTCACTCAGTCTCTCAACCAAACCAAACACCAACACCAACACCCCTTTAATATACATACACATATGTATTTTTAACTCCCGCCATGTTCACTATATCTCTCACTCTCTGTATGTATGTTTGTTCACATATTGGTTGGCTGGTATAAAACTCATGTTTATTATAAACTAATCTTTGAATAAACCTTTAAATATACAACATTAGCCCTGGCCATGTCCCAAAAGGATATGTTGTTGTTGTGTAGTAACACTGGGAGATTTTTGAAACATGTCTCTGCTTATTCTCTTTGCATTCTAGTCTCTTTTTTTTTTTTGGTAAAGACGACAATGAACAAGTAGTTTTTATTATTCAAACCCTACAAGTACATGTTGTATTATTTTGGGTATTTTTTCACACAGAGAAAAAATAACTCGTGCACAAATTCAAAAATAGAATAAAATCTGAAATATTGTTAGAGCCACAATGATTGTTGTACAATTTTTGTTTTTGTTAAAAAAACTAACGAATAACATTTTTTTTTTTTTTTTTGGAATAACCAGGGGAAAATAAAATTCATTCAGTTATACAGTCGTTCACTTTTATTCTGGGGATTTTTGTTTTGAAACTGCAGATAGAGATGTAAATACGGTTTAAAAGTATAAAGAGACAGAGACATGTCGTACCATGTTCAATGTTGTTGTTGTGACCAGTAGTCTTAAAACTTTAATTTACAGTATTTAGGGGCACCAAAATTCAATTTATCCAAATCCCGTTATCGTTCAACTAACGTTTAATGAGCCGACATGTTTTTATATCTTTTTGTAATGCAAATGGGTGAATATAAACTAAGAGCGCCGACACCCATTTTCTCCACATCCCTTTAAGGTTTAACTAGTAGTTATACTGACTGTTGAAACAGTTTTATATGAAAACAATCAAAGAAATCTTTATGTTAAAAAATAACTAGACATTGAGAAAATGGGGGTAAATAAGCAAGAAACCCGAAAATTTTAAACTGTATTGTTTACAGTAGTATTTGGGAAGTAATTATTTAATGCTTAAAAGTAATATGTTCAGAGTCACTAATTCATTTGTAATCGATGTTAAAATAACCGTCAAATTTCATTCTTAAGAGTAACCCTTAATGGTAGAAAGGACATGCCATCCAGTGGTAGAAAAGTACATGCCATAACAGCCATCCAAACGGCAGAGTTCTGCTGCTGTTGATGATAAAAGTAGTTGTGCAATATTTGTTCACGAACATGTTTTTAAGTATGAAAGTTTATTTCTATATTGAAAATTTAATACTCTTTTTGTAATATTTATTGAGAATATCTAATCTTCTAGAAGGCTATCTCCATGGAAAAATATCTCTCAATCTTTCAGGCAGAAATCTACGCCATCTTCATCTGTGCTAGGGAGTGCGTGAGGAGAAGGATAAATGTTCTGAGAATTTACATAGTTTCAGACAGCCAAGCAGCGGCCTTATTCTCGTATAAAGTTAGGTCGGGTGTTGTAATGGACTGTGTGACATCATTGAATAAACTGGTTAAATATAACAAATTAACACTAAATATGTTCAATACCCGGCCACGAAGTTCATTTTGACAACAAACGGGTGGATTGATTTGCAAATGGAGGTGCTCATCGTCCACTTATAGGCTCTGAACCACTATTTGTTGCCCTACAATGATATGTAGACAAATGTGCGAATCGTGTGTCGAATCGGAATTTGGGCGCCACTGGGAAGCTACAACAGGGCTTAGATAGACAAACAGCTTAATTACTCTATCAAAGGTATAATCCCAAAAGTTGGTATCGCTTAACAAAAGCGATCTCATAATACTGAC